ATGGATTCTCCTTCTTCTGCAAACTCTGGTCAACAGGTGAGGACTATGTGCACTTTTTTTTGTCTTTTTAAATTTCTCTCCCTTGTTTTTTTCTTCCCTTTCCCCTCACATCCTATTATATGTAATTTTGTATAATGATGAGGCTCTCCTTCCATTTCCATGAAATTTCCCTTCTCTCTCCCTTTCCCTCCCAGCTCTCGTCCCTGTTTAATGTTAATCTTCTTCTCATGCTCTTCCTCCCTGCTCTGTTCTTAGTTGCTCTCCTTATATCAAAGAAGACATTTGGCATTTGTTTTTTAGGGATTGGCTAGCTTCACTTAGCATAATCTGCTCTAATGCCATCCATTTACCTGCAAATGCCATGATTTTATTCTTTTTTGCTGAGTAATATTCCATTGTGTATATATGCCACATTTTTTTATCCTTTCATCTATTGAAGGCCATCTAGGTTGGTTCCACAATTTAGCTACTGTGAATTGTGCTTCTATAAACATTGATGTGGCTTTATCCTTGCAGTATGCTGTTTTTAAGTCCTTAGGGTATAGATGGAGGAGAGAGATAGCTGGGCGAAATGGTAGTTCCATTCCCAATTTTCCAAGGAATCTCCATGCTGCTTTCCATATTGGCTGCACCAATTTGCAGTCCCACCAGCAGTATATGAGTGTACCTTTTCCCCCATATCCTCACCAACACTTATTGTTGTTTATATTCATAATAGCTGCCATTGTAATGGGAGTGAGATGAAATCTTAGAGTGGTTTTGATTTGCATTTCTCTAATTGCTAGATGATGATGAACATTTTTCATATATTTGTTGATTGATTGTATATTATCTTCTGGGAAGTATTTGTTCAGGTCCTTGGCCCATTTATTGATTGGGTTATTTGGTTTTGGGGTGCTTAACTTTTTGAGTTCATTATATACCCTAGAGATTAGTGCTCTATCTGATGTGTGAGGGGTAAAAATTTGCTTCCAAGATGTGGACTCTCTATTTACCTCACAGATTGCTTCTTTTACTGAGAAGAAACTTTTTAGTTTGAGTCCATCCCATTTATTGATTCTTGATTTTAATTCTGTACCAAAGGAGTCTTATTAAGGAAGTGGGAGCCTAATCCCACGTGATGGAGATTAAGGCCTACTTTTTCTTCTATTAGTCACAAGGTCTCTGGTTTTATTCCTAGGTCCTTTATCCATTTTGAGTTGAGTTTTGTGCATGGTGAGAGATACAGGTTTACTTTCATTTTGTTCCATATGGATTTCCAGTTTTCCAAACACCATTTTTTGAAGAGGTTATCTGATATAAGATAACTGAAATTTTAGACCTTAATCCTTGTTAGGTGCCCATATCCAGGAATACAACAGGTGTCTACAAACTAATTGTGAATGTAACTTTACTAAACTACAGATATTAACTGAATTGTCTACACACATAATCATACCAACACAGTACATTAAAAGTAGTTTAAAATACTCATAAACTCTAATTAATTCTCAGCATGTAAAACAGGCCCATGTAGGGAAAGTATAAGCAGCTCTCCACAAACACTTCTCATAAACTTGAACAATATGCTTTGCACAAAGCTTTCTGGTGGCCTGGCAGCTCTAAAGGGAATCTCCATGATGCCCTTTCCCCCTGCTCACATCTGTTTCCAAGTGTCCTAAGACAACTTTCCAATGAACAATTTCTGCCACATTATTGGTAGCAGGGCACGGTGTATGCTCTGGGTACTCTAGAAACAGCAACCTCTTCTCAGGAGACACTTGCTTCAGTGCCTCCAGGAAGCTGGAACATTCAGACTGAAAGCTCCAAGCTGAACAAAAAGATCCTAGGAGGCCCTAAAGGCAGAAAGGACATGACAGTGCCACTCTCACTTGTGAGGTCTGTATGCTCTGACTGGGTGGTATCCACATATTAAAACTGAAGGAGTTTAAAGTCTGTAAGTTTTATTACAGGATAATGAAGAGGTTCTAGAAATGGACACTTATAGTCACAGAACAATGTGAATATATCAGTGCCACTGATCTGTACACTTAAAAATGGTTCAAATGGCAAATTTATGTGTATTTTACAATAAAAAATATCTAAAGATGCATTTTCTATTTTTCAGTGTTTTCTGCTATTATTTAGTAATCACAGTCATTAGGAGCACTAACCAGCTGGTGCAGTGGCACATGCCTGTAATCCCACTGGGAGGCTGAGGAAGAAGGATCATAAGTTCAAAGCCAGCCTCAGCAAAAGCGAGGCACTAAGCAACTCATTGAGACCCTGTTTCTAAGTAAAATACAAAATAGTGCTGGGGATTTGGCTTAGTGGCCAAGTGCCTCTGAGTTCAATCCCTAGTACAAAAAAAAAAAAAAAAGAAGTACTAACCATCAAAATTTGACAGCCCTGTATTTGAGATTTGGTTGTGCTTGCTGCATCTGTGGAACTTAAAAGCATGTCACTTAATTAAGCCTCAGTTTCCTCATCTGTAACACAGGAATCATAAAATGCTTACTTACCCATTATAGGTTGCTGTGAAATTTCAACTTGGTAGAGTTTTAGTACACAGAAGGGGCTCAATAAATGTTAGTTCTGATTTTCTTTTAGATTTTCATATCAATATGATTGTACTTTGTATAAGGAAGACTTAAAAAACGCTTTAGCATAAAAAGGCTGTTTATTTCTCCTTAGTTCTTAATATTACAGAGAACTATAAGACAACATGCCATAAAACACATTTCATATTATAGTCAAGTGATATAGAGCCCAAGTGTTGACCACTGAGTCAATGGTTAATAATATTAAAAGTATCACTTGTTGGTATTTAAAATTGTTGGTATTCAGATAAGCCACAATAACTTGAAATACTTGAAATAATTTAAATATATATGTGTGTGTATAAACCTATAGATATCATTTTTTAATCAATTATAACATGTCATACAAAAACATTGGGCAGAAAAATACTTCACACATACAAAAACAGGCTATTTTATTTTTGTTCCTTTTACATCCTATTCATAAAATGATGAAACCCAGAAAATAGTTATAAAACTGGGTATTTTATACATGAAACAGATCCAGTCATGTACAACTCTCAAATTCTAAACAACGAGAGTTACTATACTCTCAAAATAAACTTAAGTAAATTTTGCTCAATTCTAATGAAATATACATTTTCACTAGTTGACAGTCCAGGTAGAAAAAGTATGTAAAATGATTTATAAGTCAAAACATTTCATACAAAAGGAATGGTTTTAACAAAACCCACACAATATCAAGAGAAAATGCATTGAATTTAAAAATTTCTAAAGTAGGCATTTTTTTTTTTTTTGCATTTTGTCCTGTCTTTATTAGTATTAGGTATTTAAACTCTGTGTTTTCATTTTCCAGAAGAAATGAGTGGAGGTCGGTGGGCAGATTTTCCATCTCGTGGCAAGAGTCTCCGGGACTGAATCCTCCTTGTCCACGCTTTCCCTGCAGATCCTTTAGAGATTCTTCACTTTGAGTGTGTGCTGCTGCAGGTTTGACAGCCATCCAGGAGGAAAACAAAAAACCAAAAAGTTCCAAATCTCCAATACCATCACCTTTGTCAAAGTTCCACCATCGTTGGGAGAAGGAAATAGATCCCAAAGTCCTGTCTCACAACTGTCTAAACCCAGCTCACGTTCCCTATTGGTAGGTGAACAATCCAACGCTTGGTGAATTCTGCTTCACAATGATAGGAAGAGCCGACATCGAAGGATCAAAAAGAAACATCACTATGAACACTTGGCTGCCACAAGCCAGTTATCCCCGTGGTAACTTTTCTGACAACTTCTGCTACATTGTTCCAACATGCCAAAGGCTGTTCACCTTGGAGACCTGCTGCAGATATAAAGTAGGCATTTGTTTAGACCATTATAGAAAATACCAAAAAGTTTAAAAATGTCATAAAATAAAAATTTATACAGATAAAACTAAGAGGTAAAAAACTATCCAATGTATTAAAACTATCTAAAACCTAATAAGATATAACTATATAATTTAAATTATATTATATGACATTATAATTTATACTATCATGATAATATAAATTATATTAATCTACATTACTTGTGATAATATAATTATTATATTATTGTTATTTATATTACTATAATTTATATTAACATAGTATATAATGTATTATTTGAATTATATAGTAGTATATTAATATAATATGATATTTATATTTAAATAGGCAATAATTTAAATTATATACTTTAGTTATATCTTATTTGGCTTTAGATGGTTTTGATATATTTGATGATGTTTTACCCCTTAACTTCATCTGTATAAACTTTTAGTTTATGACAGTTCCAAACTTTTTGGTATTTAAGTGCATTTTCTTTCTATAATTTAATTGACTACCACATCTAAAAACTGACAATTAGAATGCAATTAGATACAGATTAGCAAGCTTTTGGGCCATTATGTAATTAATATTTGTATGAAGTTAACTGCCAATTGAAAAATAAAAGCTTACATACATACCATATGTATGTGTGTAAGCTGTAACAAAAGTGGTCAAAGATTCACTATAATATTGTATGGGAAAAAATATATTCAAACCCTATAAAGATTTTTCAGGCACTTGCATTCAGAAACATTTTATAAATAAGCACTTAGCTTCACTCCATAATAAAGCTGGTTATCCCCTACCACACCTATTTGTTGAGAACAATATCATATATAAGGGATGCATTTAAGTGGATCATTTTATAGGGAAAATCATTTGAAATTTTAAAATCACAACACTTATTTTATGCAAAACTTCAAAAACACAGAATTTAAAGATAATACCAGTGAGGCACTATCATTCTATATGACTAAAACACTACCATTCTATATGACTAGCGAACACGATACAAGGCCAAAAGGCAAAATACATACTTTGGCAATCCTATACAAAAGGGGTTCTGTCAAAACGTTCTCTCAAAAAATAAACACAATACGTAAAAACGAAACAAGAAAAAGAAAAACTGAATTTTGACAACCTACACAAACTGTGGCATTTCAAATTCAAGGTCTTGTAATTCTTCCATTTGTTTTAGCCTGAGTCCCTGGCACATTGGATTCACGTCAGGCCGGCCGTGCTCTTCAGAGCGCTCTTTAGGCTCAGGAGCTGGCTGCAAAGCATAAGCTGATGTGCTGTCTGCCTCTGGAACATCTTTCTCCACATGACTCAGGGGAGTAAGAGCTGTGCTAGGAGGCACTGCTGCTGAAGGTGAAGCTGGTCTCTCCTCAATCCCCCTGACTTTGCTGGTCAGGGTACGTGGTTTGTAAAATGTTGTCCAGTGATGGGGCTGCAGTGTTCTTGCTGCTCTTGCAGGAGCAAGATGGTAAGAATGAGAGGACCGTCTTTCTGATGCCTCTCTTGCTGATCTGGCTGGCGTGTTGGGCTTTGTGGCACCAATGGAATGGTCACCACTAACTCTGATGCTCACTGTCATTTTTTCCTGGAGTGCACTAGGCACAATCACTGCACTCGTGCCAGTTAAGTTCTTTTGTTCACATTGTTGTCCCTGAGTTTTTTGTAGAAACTGCTGATCAAAGCCATAAAATTTGGAACAAACAGTAGGAGGGGTATCTTTGCTATTAAGTCCTTTAAAAGCAAGATTCTTGCAAAACTTGTCTGAATTTACATTTCCCACATTTCTGCTGTTTCCCTCACTAGGAGAGCTTGCAAGATGGAACCTATCTACAGACAAAATTGCATGTCCAATCTTGGTGGTTGGTGTATGCCTCTGTATGTCGTTCGTTGCCACATCAGATTTCAAACTAAGTGGTTCAGTGGTTTTACACATATCATCCATCTTTCGGGATAATGATTCAAGTTCTTTGTTATCTGAAAAAGAAAGATTTTTTTTTAACTTCATGGAGCTTGGTTAGTAACGAAGTGTGGTTAGTTATAAATGGTCACTCTCTCAAAACAACACAGTCTTATATATTTTCCCCAACATGATATTCTTAGTCATTGATGCAGAGGAATTACAAATTCACACAGCATTAAAGGTACATTTTGAATTAAAGCATTACTTTTTAAAAAATTATCTAAATCAATACAATAAATAATAACCACAAAGCACATCATGTGTTGGTTAAATAAAACAATAACAAAAAAAATTAACTCTTCCTGAAGTAACTTGTTTTAATATATTACCTATGAATGAATATTTTCTGGGTTAAGACTGTGCTGATTTCAACAGGCAGACACTAGTAACCGCAGAACACTAACACTATTCTATAGACCAATCAAAGCCATGTCCTGAATCCCAAGAACTTTGCCTCCTCCCTTCATCTGCTTTCCAGCTACATTCTGTCCATACTGAGGGCAACACACCAGAGAGGACTTGGATGCTCTCCCAGCTGATCCATTAATACATGGCAACATCCATGGGTAAAATTAAGGTTGAAGAGCTGTCAAAATTGCCATTCTGCTACTGGTTCTGGTGACTCCAGATTTACTTCCTTCTCTTTCTCCTCTAGTCTGGTCCCAAGGTCCCTGTTTTCTCACCTAGAACCCTAGCTCTTCACACTCTGTCTTTGCTGCATGTACCCCAGAAGCTCCTGTTGCTAGAAAGGTGCAGCCCTCTGGCCATGATCCTCCTCTCCCTGCTGAGAAACATCAGACAAACTGTGTGCCTTGCCAGTGGTCTGACGGCTTTCCAGTGGCCCTGTCATAGCCCATGGTCCTCATCCCTGCCACCTGCTCCTTCTCCCATATCCTTAGGCAGTGGTTTGCAGACAGGTGCCCACCAGCATCACTTGCAGGTCATCATCTCATCTGACCTCCTTCTTCAACTGAGGCTGCTGGCCTCTCTTCCCTGGTTCCCAGGCACCGCTCATGTGATTTGCTCTCCTGGGCCCTTCTCCAATTGATAGAAGGGAGCTGAGCCATTGTGGTTGGATGGTAACCACCAGAACATATTTACAGTCCTGCAGAACTTCTAGCACCATGAAGAGTACAGACTCTGCAGCCAGCTGCTTGGGTGCTGGCTCAGCTCCTGCTCCAGTTCTGCCCTGGGCAAGTCCATTGCACTAGCCCTTCCTGCCTTCCTCTGTCAAGACTGACTCCTATGTGGAGATATGTTGGCATGTGGTCTTAATGATCTACTAAGGAACAGGCTTAGAATTACCTGGTATGTAAGGAAAACTTGACAATATTTAAACACTATTTATTGTTATTACTATACCTACTTGGGATTCCAATTTCCTTGGACAGTGAAATAAGGTTACATTTAGGAATGAGACAGGATGAGGTTCAAATCCTGAATCAACAATAATTTAGGGACATGACCCTTGGCATTATTTACCTTCCTCAGACTGTTCGCTATGGCTTAAATGAGGCCAAGGTTCATAGCACAGAAGTGCTAATAAGATCAAATCAAGTAAATGGAATCAGTGAGTCCAGTGCTTTTCTTAGCAGATAGATAATTGACTCCCTTTGTTTTCAGACTTTGTCAGGCTATATTCATTGATATTTAATTAATTTTAGACATCAAATTTAACATATATGGCTATATTTTGAAAAAATTGGAATTTAGCTCCAGTAAAACAGTAACAAATGGAAGTTTTTTGATCACCTTAACAGAAACCATTCACTGAAATAAAATTAACAAAAAAACAATGAACAAAAGGACTGAGGCCAAGAAAATGGAAGACATGTGTGCTTAATGTGCTAAAGATAGGCCACAGGTAAAGGGACATCAAAAAATTTTAGGAGTCTATTTTTTTGAGTTTCAGGAGTCCACTTTATTTCTGCCTTGACTTTAATTGATGACAAGAAGTAAAACTAAAAACAAATCTCAGAAGGAGGACAAAAAAACATTTATGAATTCCAAGATATCTCCTTACAAGAAAGAAACAAAAAATGATATTAATTTAAATGACATTCATTAAACTTTCTCAATGGCTATCAAAGTTAACTAATAAAACCTTGAAGTTTGAACTTCCCTCAACTTCATTCACCTTGTTTTTAATCGAGACTTATTTGCAAAGTTTGAAAATATGTAAACATATATAGTACATGACCACTCACCAATCAGATATGCATCACATATTTCCAATGCATTTTGCTTCCATTCTGATTTCTCAAATGATGTAGCTGATTCAAAATTTTCACTTTCACTATCTGCAGTGTGGATACCCTATTAATGCAAAAAAAAAATTAAACTGAAAAAGCAAAATACACCTCAAAATAAACAGTTCAAAGACTGCTAAGTTATTAACATAAACATCACAAAGTTCTGATGTAATTCTATAATAATCAAAACTCACTTCCTTTGAAGAAAAATATTGTGACTTTGTGGAATGTTCTGGTGATATCACGGGTTTGGAAGGACAGCTTTTATCCACCAGAGGTGCAATAACACCTGTACTACATGTAACATTTTGTGACACTAGGAACTCATTGAAGATCATCTGTGAGTTGGTAATGAGGAACTCTACCAACAGGGCCTGATTGGCATATGCAGCAAGGGAGGAGGAGATAGTAACAGGAGCGGTTGCAGGTCTTGGCCTCATGAGACATGGTCCAAATACCACCCCCAAGTTTTTTGAATTCATCAGGTTTTCTTCAGAATGGTCTACTACCCTGAAAAGAAGAACACATAAAGTTTATGAGATTTGCCCATTAGAGGTCCTTAATGGTAGTTTACTATGAATTGAGAAGGGTCAAGAAAACATGGGCTATAGAAGTCTACAAAACATTTGTCAAGGGTCAAGTTTGGTGGGTCTAGGGAAAGAATCATTTGTTTGATCATAATACCACACACCAAACTGAGTTTCAGAGTACTATATTAGGATAAAATTCATGTAAATAGAAGGAACTACTGAACTCTTACCAGCAGAAGGAAAAAAAATACCCCTTAAAAAAATTGCTCCATCTTTGTATATACTCCCAGTTTCTGGAAACTGAAATATCACTGTCAATTTCTCTCACAGCCCACAGTTAGTTTTCTTTTTAAAAAATATTTTTAGTTAGTTACCTTTATTTTATTTATTTTTTATGCAGTGCTGAGTATTAAACCTAGTGTCTCACGTGTGCTAAGCAAGTGTTCTACCACTAGTCACACTCCCAGCCCCTGACAGCTAGTTTTCTAGCCTAGATGATTCTCTCTCCTGAACATCTCTCTGTTCTACTGCCACTATCAATGTTCTGGTTTTACTTCAAGCACTGGCTGCTTTTTAGTTCTATGACTATTCAAGGCGATCTGACGCTATCATGAATGGGGTAGTTTTCCTAATTTCTCTTTCAGAGGATTCATCACTGATGTATAGGAATGCATTGGATTTATGGGTATTGATTTTATATCCTGCTACTTTGCCAAATTGATTTATTAATTCTAGTTTTCTAGTGGAGTTTTTTGGATCCTCTAAGGATAGAATATCATGACGTCAGCAAATAATGATAGCTTGAGTTCTTCGTTCCCTATTCATATCCCTTTAATCTCTTTCATCTGTCTAATTTCTCTGGCTAGAGTCTCAAGGACTATGTTGAATAGAAGTGGTAAAAGAGGGCATCCTTGTCTTGTTCCAATTTCTAGAGGAAATGCTTCCAATTTTTCTCCATTTAGAATAATGTTAGCCTTGGGTTTAGCATAGATAGCTTTTACAATGTTGAGGTATATTCCTACTATCCCTAGTTTTTCTAGTGTTTTGAACATAAAAGGGTGCTATATTTTGTCAAATGCTTTCTCTGCATCAATTGATATAATCGTATGATTCTTTTCTTTAAGTCTATTAGTGTGATTAATTAATTTATTGATTTCTGTATGTTGAATCAATCTTGCATCCCTGGAGTGAACCCCACTTGATCATGGTGCGCTATTTTTTAAATATGTTTTTGTATGGGATTGCCAGAATTTTATTGAAAATTTTTTGCATCTATGTTCATCAGAGATATTGGTCTGAAATTTTGTTTCCTTGATATATCTCTGCCTGGTTTTGGTGTCAGAATGATACTAGCTTCATAAAATGAATTTGGAAGGGTTCCCTCCTTTTCTATTTCATGGAATAATTCAATGCCCTTCAATATATGAATGGATAAATAAAATGTGGTGTATATATACACAATGGAATGTTACTAAGCATTAAAAGAGAATTAAATTATGGCATTTGCAGGTAAGTGGATGAAGTTGGAGAATATCATGCTAAGTAAAGTAAGCCAATCCCAAAACACCAAAGGCCAAATGTTCTCTCTGATAAGTGGATGCTGATCCATAATGGAGATGATGTTGTAGAAAGAAAGGAAAATTTTTGACTGGGTCAAGGGGAAGGAGGTAAGGGAAGAGGGCATGAGGGTAGGAAAGATGGTGGAATGAGATGAACATCACTACCCTAGATGCATGTATGACTGCATATTTGGCGCAATTCCAAATCATGTACAACCAGAGAAATGAAAAGTTGTGCTCCATTTGTGTATAATGGATCAAAAAGCTTTCTACTGTCATGTATAACTGATTAGAACTAATAAAAAAATTTAAAATAAATTTTTAAAAAAGGAGATCTGAATTACAGAAGGCCTCCCCTCCAACGCATTTTTCATATTGCTATCAGAAAGATCTATCAGGCAAATCTGAGCATGTGAAATTCCTGATTACAAGTCTTTAGTGGGTACAGAAATAATATGGTCAACTCATCTGCCAGGTACATAGATTTTCTTATCATGCCTGTAGGTAGCTCAGTTCCTGCTACTTCTTGCTATATTATAGCCTAATGAAATTATATTTTCCAAATGTAAAATGTTTTCTTGTGTCTCCATGTCTGTTACCCTCTGCCTAGTATGCTCTTCTGCACATTCTCTACCAAATCCCACTCAGTTCTTAAAATCTGACTCAAGGGCTTGCCTCCTCTGTTTTACCCCTAATCCCAAACTTCCTCTGCATGCCTTCATGCTGTGCACAGCTACTAGAAAAAGGATGACGCTGTACTGTGGTTATATACAGATCTGTCCCCCAAGATGATAAGCCCACTAACAGAAACCCTGTGTTTCCATGCTGGTTTGCCCAGCCAGAGCCTGGCATACAGGGGGCATCTGAGGGAACAGTGTTGGCTGCATGAACATATATTCAATGTCTCCCTTTCCCAACATAGAATAAAAACATCATAAAAAATGAAACAATCATTTTGAAAACACTACCACAACAGTATAAATGTACTTAATACTGTTGCACTGTACAATTTAAAATGGTTAAGACAGTATAAAAATTCATACCGTTTAAGATGTATGATAAGGTAATGAAGACTGTTAAAATTTGATGTTGGCAATTGTCTTAGAAGGACCTTGCTTTTTAGAAGAATTCGGTTTATTTCTATACACATATTTGGGTATGTTTTGTCCTTAGGGTTATCATTTTTGGTATCTTGCTCTTCATTAATATGTTGGATCTCTTGTGCAAGGTCCATAAATTCCTTGTACCATCGGAATAAAATCAATGGTTCTGGGAGCTAAAGAAATAAAATTACATTAAAAATTACATTACATTACATTAAAAATATCTCTTTTTTGTTAAAAATCAACAATTAGTGAGAGTTACTCAAATGATTTTTTTATCATTTCAGTGTACCTATGGCTACTTGATGTTCTATATTATCTGTAGAAGGTTAGGGTGTTGCCCTATGATCAGTTTGTATCCTCACCACTCTGGGGTTTGAAGCAAGTCACTTAACCTCTTGGAGCTTTAGGTAATAATGAAGGCTACTCTCTAACACTATTGCAAGAATTGAGCAGTTTCCCACATAAAAGTCTTGGACATACAAAATTCCTAAAACAGAATGCAAGTTTATCATATTGGACCCAATTCATCTCCTCTCCCTTACTGGCTAATAAAAGAAATAAAGGATGACACATTATGAGACTTATAGTCATTCAAAGGTATCAACCTCCATTTCTCAGTTGAGGTATCTGTAAAATGTGATTAAAGAGTTATCAATACTTTCCTGAAATAACATTGTAGATCCAGCAATTAATACTTAATTTCTTTCTCTCCTGCAACCCCACTAAAATACAGTAGGCCAATGAGGACTAGGAAAATAGAGAAAACAAAAGCAACAATTCACAAATAGAAGAGCAGATTAACAAGTCCTGATGCAACAGTTCCAAGAAAGCTGACCCCTTATCACTCAGCATGATTTTCAGAATCCTAAAGGGACTTGGACAATAAGTACCAGGTCCTCTGACCTTGGGGTAGGGTGCAAGTGGGCCAGCTGAGACAGCTTAGCTCTCTATAGAATCCTGTCTCTACTCCATGTTCTCGAGCAATCTCCTTCCTAAAAATCTGGAAATGTTTTCTCTGGGCAACATGATACAGAGGCTCTCTGAATGGGGGCAATGCCAAACCTAAGGAGCAGAGAGGTGACTGTCTGAAAATGGGGATTTGTTGGCTGTATGCACACTGAATGCACAGATCTTGCAATCATCATTCCCACCCTGGCTCCCACAGTATTGGTACCATATCTCTAGGCAAGGAAAACCCTTTTCCAGGGGGGATCAAACCAGTCCAAGACAGGGAACTAGAGACATGTAATCAGGCATATATCAAACGGTCCATCTAGATCACTTTATAATAAAGTTCCAAGTTTTTAAAAAGCCTTGATGTGTTCAAGAGCTTCCAAAGAGATTTCAAGTCCAAAATCTAACATAACTAGACATCATTAAAGACAAAAATCAAAATGGGTATAAAAAAAACAAATTGAAGGTCTAAAACTATGCTGTCAATATGCTGACCACTAGTCATATATGGTGAAAAAGTACTGGAAGTACAACTGATCAAAATTAAGATGTGCTCTAAATGAAAAAATAGATACTAGATTTCAAAGACTAAGAGCTCAAATATAAATCAATAAATAAATATCTCATAATTTTAAAATAATATTCAAAATGTTAAATAATATATTAAAATTAACTTTACCTATTTTTAAAATTTTATATGGCTATAGAAAATTTAATGTTATATATGAGGGTCACATTGTATTTATACAGAGGGTTTAGAGGCTAAATAGAGAAAAGAACCCTTACAAAAAAATCTATGACTATCCACAGGAAAATAGCATGATATGGTCATTTTAAAAAATGTTATCAAAGGAATAGAAAATCATAATACTTGAAAATTAAAATATGATCTCAGGAATGAAGTAATTTATATTAGTCAAGAAGATAAAGCTGAGGAAATGTCTTAGAAAGTTATTGAAGAAAGAAAGAAGAAGAATACAGGAAAGGTAAGGGAACTAAAGAACCAGTATGGGTTATTGAGTATGCAAACAAGAGCTTCAACTAGAGAGTACAAAGAAAGAGGGGGAAATGGGCAATAAAAATCAAGAAAAATTCAAAGAACTAAAGCACTGACAACTATCAGAGCTCATGGAGTGTCCAGAATAGTGGATGGAAATATATCCACATCATTATTCATCACTGTAAAATCTTAGAATAATGTGGCATTGGAGAGATTCTATTAGCTATAGAGGGACAAAACAATAGGCACAGAGTTAGGAATGAAATAAGACGGATTCACTGTGTGAACAGAACAATAACAAAAAACCTTGCCTTCAAAATTCAGAGGAAAAAGAATTTCCAGCCTACAATACTAAAAAGTCCCACACTATCTACACTAGTCCATTTCTGTCAAGACAGTAGGAAAACATTTACAGAGAACAGGTTTCAAATATTTTATCCTACTTAAAGGACAAACGTAACCAAAACAGAATACCCCCCAAACAAGGAAAACAGGAGAGGTGTTCCATCACAAAAGAGAGGAGAGGAGAGGAGAATGATCTCAGGATGACAGCTAATAACCCAATTAAAAAGGATCTGCAAGGGAGCAAAAGAACAACAGAGAAGGACAGATTAAGGACTTATCAGCATGACCCTATCATTATCTCTTCATTTTCACCCAGGGATAGATGCCAGCTGGATCTGACCCAAATCATTTTGTACTTGGCTCATGACAAAATGCCAATTAAGTTCCTGTAACCCCTCTGTAAGCCGCTGCCTAAAGCCAGCAACGTCACTTCACTCCACAGATGTGTGTGTGTGTGTGTGTGTGAGTGTGTGTGTTTACCTATTCCTGCAAACTGCAGGTATAACAGTGAACATAGAAAATGACAATATAGGACAGCCCACTCCCTGACCATATTCCTCCTAGACTTCTAGTATCCACCTTATAGGAAGAGTTATGCCTGTTGCCCCAAATATTATGAACTTCATGGCCTTGCCTACTAACCTCTCAAAATAGCTATTTTGAAACATCACTGAAGGCAAAGCTAGACTATGATCTAGATACTGTCCTACTTATTGAATATTCCTAACAGTGTGAACACTGGCCTTTACTTATACAGATACATTTATGCTTTTAGTCAGTGTTCTAAAACTTAAAGATAACAAAAACTTAATGAGTGTTATTTATTCCTGTATGTTTATCCCTTTAACATGGTTAGGAGGGACCTCCAAGATGGAGTTGGGAGGCTGCAACATGGAAGAGGTACATGGAAGTCTTGTACAAGGAATAGTAATATTTTATTTTCTTAAGTGGAATTTGGTTTTATTATTATTGTTCTTTAAATTGTATGTATATTTTATATACATTTTATGATCTGTACATTAATAATGAGAAAAACATCAACATGGGAGGGTCAGTGGAGTGGAGTGGGGAGATAAAGGGAGGAAAAAAGAGAACCGAAGTAGAGTGAGTCAGATCTATGCATGTATGAAATTGTCAGGATGAACCTAGCTACTATGTATAAATATAATGCTCTAATCAAAAAAATAGAAAGACATCGACATAATCTGTGCCAATGAAAATATATGAAATATAAAATATATTTTTGCTCTTTTTATTTGATGTACTTTACAATAAAAACTTTACCTGTCGAAGGTATAATTTTAAGGCTTCACAGATGTCGTGTGAATTAAATTCTGACATGTCTACCAAATGCATTCCATTCTCCAAAGTTTGACACAGTTTTGCAGTTTTTGCTTTGTTTCCACTGACACGATAAATTCCCTTGAATAGAAAAGAAAAAAAAAGATGCAAAATTCTATTTAAGTACAAAGGGCTAAATTTAGACATCTAAACATATTTGATGTATCTCCTTCAATTTGTATTAGTATTTTAGGAAAAAAAAAACAAGTTAAAGTAAAATAAATTAACATTTCCCAAATAAATGTGAATAAATTCAGTTATTAAAAACTGAGAGTATTGATTTTCTTAAAGTCTCTTTTTCATTAAAACAAATCACACAGGCATTATGTTTTAACAACATACCTGTAAACACAAGGCTGTCTTTTCAATCTCTGAAGCACATATTTTGAGTATAAAAGGAATGCCATCTGGCTCCTTTTTTGTAACTCGTGTAAATTCTGCTCCAAATAAGTGTGTTTTCCCCAGAAGTTTCCGGTGACCGCAAAAGATAACTAAGTTTTCCATACATTTATGATGACAAACAAGGAGACACTACAAGAAAATGATATTTTAAAACTGATTAACTCACCCTAAAACTATTCAAAACTAAGCAAACTACAGCCAGACTAATAACAACAAAAATGAGTTAAAAAGTATTACTTGTGGTTTATGAAATATATTTAACAGCAAAACAAAGTAGAAAACTATAGAAGATAAACTGTGGGACTTTATTAAAAATGTACTGGCAGAGCCAGGTGTGATGGCATATGCCTATGATTCCAGCTACTTGAGGGGTTGAAACAGGAAGATCACAAGTTGAAGGCCAGCTCAACATAGAAAGACCACCATTTCAAAACACAATTTAAAAAGGGGTGGGGATATTGCTCAGGGGTAGAGTGCTTGCCTGGCATGCACAAGACCCTGAGTTTAATTCCCAGGAGTATAAACAACAAATTTATATATATATAAATAAATAATATATATATATAAATATATATATATTTAATACATGTGTGAGAATACATACACATCTCCTAATAAGTAAAACCATAACAAAAAAAGTATATAGCAAAAAAAATAAGGGGGCCAATGTGATTCCAAAAATATCTTACCTCCTTACATTTAACACCTTGGAACACTACAATGCCTTCACAATATCTGCATTTTGAGGGGGATTTCAATTTTCGGAACTTGTGAGTAACAGCTGCCTTTGACATCAATGGTTTCTTAAATGCTCCAAGGGAACTGGGTTCTTATGACAGAAATATAAGAAGGGTAAAATGACAAAAAAAATATACTAGATGATATTGTACTTGGAATAATTTTTAGACTTTGAGATTATTCATATATTATAAAAAGCTATTATTTTGAGTTTTTAACATGAAAAAAATCTCCTTTATAGATCTCTTTTACAAAACACAAACTTTTACTCAACATTTTATTCATGAGTAAAAATCACCATCAAACCAATAAAATTTTTAAGATACTATGGCATAATGTTTTTAGAATCAGCACATTTAAGCCAGGCACAATGGTGTATGCCTGTGATCCTAGCAACTCAGGGGGCTAAGGCAGGGGAATCACAATTTTGATGCCCACCTCAGCAACTCAGTGAGACACTGTCTTGAAATGAAAAATGAAAAAGGCTGAGGATGGCAGCTCATTTGATAGAGTATTCTGGGTTCAGTCCCCAGTACCAGGAAAAAAAGAATCAGCATATTTATACTTAATAATATTAACATGCCCTTTACACAGTTGGTAAGTATGTTCATAGGTGGCATATAAATGCTATAAATGTTTGAAAGAAATACAATTACATGAGGCGAGTATGTTAGAATTATTTACATTAAGGATAAAGCTCCTCTTAATTCATTATAAAATTACAGGCAATCTAGCTTATTATATTTTAATATTATATTGGTATTACAGGTATCAAATGTACAAAATTAATTTATGAGAGTCTAATTTGAGTCACTAAGGTAACTGACTTTACTTTTATATCCTTCGACACCCAAAACATTCCTTATTCTCAAGAAGTACACTGAATCTGCTCCTCCTGCTTGGTTTCTTATACACTTTCTTTCTTTCTTTCTTTCTTTCTTTTTTTTATTGTTGGCTGTTCAAAACATTACATAGTTCTTGATATATCATATTTCACAATTTGATTCAAGTGGGTTATGAGCTCCCATTTTTACCCCATATACAGATTGCAGAATCACATCAGTTACACATCCATTGATTTACATATTGCCATACTAGTGTCTGTTGTATTCTGCTGCCTTTCCTATCCTCTACTATCCCCCCTCCCCTCCCCTCCCCTCCCCTCCCCTCTTCTCTCTCTGCTCCCTCTACTGACATTCGTTTGTCCCCCTTATATTATTTTTCCCCTTCCCCTCACTTCCTCTTGTATGTACTTTGGAAAACTCTGAGGGTCTCCTTCCATTTCCATGCATTTTCCCTTCTCTCTCCCTTTCCCTCCCACCTCTCATCCCTGTTTAATGTTAATCTTCTTCTCATGCTCTTCGACCCTACTCTGTTCTTAGTTACTCTCCTTATATCAAAGAAGACACTTGGCATTTGTTTTTTAGGGATTGGCTAGCTTCACTTAGCATAATCTGCTCTAATGCCATCCATTTCCCTGTAAATTCTATGATTTTGTCATTTTTTAATGCAGAGTAATACTCCATTGTGTATAAATGCCACATTTTTTTTATCCATTCATCCATTGAAGGGCATCTAGGTTGGTTCCACAGTCTTGCTATTGTGAATTGTGCTGCTATGAACATCGATGTAGCAGTGTCCCTGTAGCATGCTCTTTTTAGGTCTTTAGGGAATAGACCGAGAAGGGGAATAGCTGGGTCAAATGGTGGCTCCATTCCCAGCTTTCCAAGAAATCTCCATACTGCTTTCCAAATTGGCTGCACCAATTTACAGTCCCACCAGCAATGTACAAGTGTACCCTTTTCCCCACATCCTCGCCAGCACTTGTTGTTTGACTTCATAATGTCTGCCAATCTAACTGGAGTGAGATGGTATCTTAGGGTGGTTTTGATTTGCATTTCTCTGACTGCTAGAGATGGTGAGCATTTTTTCATGTACTTGTTGATTGATTGTATGTCCTCCTCTGAGAAGTGTCTGTTCAGGTCCTTGGCCCATTTGTTGATTGGGTTGTTTGTTCTCTTATTGTCTAATTTTTTGAGTTCTTTGTATACTCTGGATATTAGGGCTCTATCTGAAGTCTGAGGAGTAAAGATTTGTTTCCAGGATGTAGGCTCCCTATTTACCTCTCTTACTGTATCTTTTGCTGAGAAAAAACTTTTTAGTTTGAGTAAGTCCCATTTGTTGATTCTAGTTATTAACTTTTGTGCTATGGGTGTCCTATTGAGGAATTTGGAGCCCGACCCCACAGTATGTAGATCGTAGCCAACATTTTCTTCTATCAGACGGCGTGTCTCTGATTTGATATCAAGCTCCTTGATCCATTTTGAATTCACTTTTGTGCATGGCGAGAGAAAGGGATTCAGTTTCATTTTGTTGCATATGGATTTCCAGTTTTCCCAGCACCATTTGTTGAAGATGCTATCCTTCCTCCATTGCATGCTTTTAGCCCCTTTATCAAATATAAGGTAGTTGTAGTTTTGTGGATTGGTTTCTGTGTCCTCTATTCTGTACCATTGGTCCACCCGCCTGTTTTGGTACCAGTACCATGCTGTTTTTGTTACTATTGCTCTGTAGTATAGTTTGAAGTCTGGTATCGCTATACCGCCTGATTCACACTTCCTGCTTAGCATTGTTTTTGCTATTCTGGGTCTTATGTTTTTCCATATAAATTTCATGATTGCTTTCTCTATTTCTACAAGAAATGACGTTGGGATTTTGATTGGCATTGCATTAAACCTATAGAGAACTTTTGGTAATATCGCCATTTTGATGATGTTAGTTCTGCCTATCCATGAACAGCGTATATTTTTCCATCTTCTAAGATCTTCTTCTATTTCTCTCTTTAGGGTTCTGTAGTTTTCATTGTATAAATCTTTCACCTCTTTTGTTAGGTTGATTCCCAAGTATTTTATTTTTTTTGAAGATATTGTGAATGGAGTGGTTGTCCTCATTTCCATTTCAGAGGATTTGTCGCTGATATACAGGAATGCCTTTGATTTATGCGTGTTGATTTTATATCCTGCCACTTTGCTGAATTCATTTATTAGCTCTAATAGTTTCTTTGTAGACCCTTTTGGGTCTGCTAGGTATAGAATCATGTCATCTGCAAATAGTGATAATTTAAGTTCTTCTTTTCCTATTTTGATGCCTTTAATTTCTTTCGTCTGTCTAATTGCTCTGGCCAGTGTTTCGAGAACTATGTTGTACAGAAGTGGTGAGAGAGGGCATCCCTGTCTTGTTCCAGATTTTAGAGGGAATGCCTTCAATTTTTCTCCATTCAGAATGATGCTAGCCTGAGGCTTAGCATAGATTGCTTTTACAATATTGAGGTATGTTCCTGTTATCCCTAGTTTTTCTAGAGTTTTGAACATAAAGGGATGCTGTACTTTGTCGAATGCTTTTTCCGCATCTATCGAGATGATCATATGATTCTTATTTTTAAGTCTATTGATGTGGTGAATAACATTTATTGATTTCCGTATATTGAACCAGCCTTGCATCCCAGGGATGAATCCTACTTGATCATGGTGCACAATTTTTTTGATAAGTTTTTGTATCCGAGTGGCCAGAATTTTATTGAGGATTTTTGCATCTAGGTTCATTAGAGATATTGGTCTGTAGTTTTCTTTCTTTGAAGTGTCTTTGTCTGCTTTAGGTATCAGGGTGATGTTGGCCTCATAGAATGAATTTGGAAGTTCTCCCTCTTTTTCTATTTCCCGAAGTAGCTTGAAAATTATTGGTATTAGTTCCTCTTTAAAGGTTTTGTAAAACTCTGCTGTATACCCATCCGGTCCTGGGCTTTTCTTAGTTGGTAGTCTTTTGATGGTTTCTTCTATTTCCTCAATTGATATTGGTCTGTTTAGGTTGTCTATATTCTCCTGACTCAATCTGGGCAGATCATATGACTTAAGAAATTTATCTATGCCTTCACTATCTTCTAATTTATTGGAGTATAAGGATTCAAAATAATTTTTGATTATCTTCTGTATTTCTGAAGTGTCTGTTGTGATATTGCCTCTTTCATCCCGTATGTTAGTAATTTGAGTTCTCTCTCTTCTTCTCTTCGCTAGCATGGCTAAGGGTCTGTCGATTTTGTTTATTTTTTCAAAGAACCAACTTTTAGTTTTGTCAATTTTTTCAATTGTTTCTTTTGTTTCGATTTCATTAATTTCAGCTCTGATTTTAATTATTTCTTGCCTTCTACTTCTTTTGCTGTTGTTTTGCTCTTCTTTTTCTAGGATTTTGAGATGAAGTATGAGATCATTTATTTGTTGGTTTTTTCTTTTTTTAAGGAATGAACTCCAAGCAATGAATTTTCCTCTTAGAACTGCTTTCAATGTGTCCCTTAGATTCCGATATGTTGTGTCTGTGTTTTCATTAATCTCTAAGAATTTTTTAATTTCTTCCTTGATGTCTTCTATAACCCATTGATCATTCAGTAACCTATTGTTCATTCTCCAAGTGATGTATTCTTTTCCCTTCCTTCTTTTATCGTTGATTTTCAGTTCCATTCCATTATGATCAGATAGGATGCATGGTATTATCTCTACTCCTTTATATTGTCTAAGAGTTTCCCTGTGACATAATATATGATCTATTTTTGAGAAGGATCCATGTGCTGCTGAGAAAAAAGTGTAACTGCTTGATGTTGGGTGGTATATTCTATATATGTCAATTAAGTCTAGGTTATTAATTGTGTTATTGAGTTCTATAGTTTCCTTATTCAACTTTTGTTTGGAAGATCTGTCCAGTGGTGATAGAGGTGTGTTGAAGTCTCCCATGATTATTGTATGGTGGTCTATTAGACTCTTGAACTTGAGAAGAGTTTGTTTGATGAACATAGCTGCACCATTGTTTGGGGCATATATATTTATGATTGTTATGTCTTGTTGGTGTATGGTTCCCTTGAGCAGTATGTAGTGTCCCTCTTTATCCCTTTTGATTAACTTTGGCTTGAAATCTATTTTATTTGATATGAGTATGGATACTCCTGCTTGTTTCCGAAGTCCATATGAGTGATATGATCTTTCCTAACCTTTCACCTTCAGCCTATGTATGTCTTTTCCTATCAAATGTGTCTCCTGTAGGCAGCATATTATTGGGTCTTGTTTTGTGATCCATTCTACTAGCCTGTGTCTCTTGATTGGTGAGTTTAAGCCATTAACATTTAGGGTTATTATTGAGATATGGGTTGTTGTTCCAGCCATATTTGTTTATTTATGTTACTAAACATGGTCTGTTTTCCTCTTTGATTATTTTCCCCCATTTAGTGTCCTACCTCCCACTGTTGGTTTTCATTGTTATTTTCCATTTCCTCTTCCTGTAATGTTTTTCCAAGGATGTTTTGAAGAGATGGTTTTCTAGCTGCAAATTCTTTTAACTTTTGTTTATCGTGGAAGGTTTTAATTTCATCTTCCATCCTGAAGCTTAATTTCGCTGGAAACACAATTCTTGGTTGGAACCCATTTTCTTTCAGTGTTTGAAATATGTTATTCCAGGATCTTGTAGCTTTCAGAGTCTGTGTTGAAAGATCAGCTGTTATCCTGATTGGCTTACCCCTAAATGTGATCTGCTTCCTTTCCCTTGTAGCTTTTAAAATTCTCTCCTTATTCTGTATGTTGGGCATCTTCATTATAATGTGTCTAGGTGTGGGTCTCTTATGATTTTGCACATTCGGCGTCCTGTAGGCTTCTAGGATTTGGGGTTCTGTCTCATTCTTCAAGTCTGGGAAGTTTTCTCGTATTATTTCATTGAATAGATTGCTCATTCCTTTGGTTTGAAACTCTGTCCCTTCCTGTATCCCAATGACTCTTAAATTTGGTCTCTTGATGTTATCCCATATTTCTTGGATGTTCTGCTCATGGTTTCTTAACAGTCTTGCTGAGCTGTCTATGTTCTTTTCAAGTTGAAATACTTTATCTTCATTGTCTGATGTTCTGTCTTCTAAGTGTTCTACTCTGCTGGTAATATTCTCAATTGAGTTTTTAAGTTGGCTTATTGCTTCCTGCATTTCTAGGATTTCTGTTTGTTTGTTTTTTATAACCTCTATTTCCCTGTATAGTTGATCTTTTGCTTCTTGGATTTGTTTATGTAATTCATTGTTGAAGTGATCTTTCATTGTCTGATTTTGCTGTCTGATGTCTTCCTTGAGACTCCAGATCATCTGAAGCATGTATATCCTGAATTCTTTATCTGACATTCCATCTGCTGCAGCTATTACCTCTTCTAACGTTGAGTTGACCTGCAATGCTTGTGGTCCTTTCTTTCCTTGTCTCTTCATACTGTTCGCGTTCCTTTCTACTTGGTGAAACTGTTGTGCTATTGAATTTTCCCCCTATATATTTATATTGGTCTTGTATAGTTGCAAAGTCTCCCTCGCAGGCGCGGGCGGCGGCTCTGTCCCTCTGCGGGCCGCTAGGCTTGTTCTGTCGGTGGTCACAGTTCTGTCTACTTTGCAGGTGCAGGCAGCGGCACTGCCCCTCTGCAGGCATCTGGGGCTGTGCTGCCAGTGGGTCGCAGGTCCGCCTACCTTGCAGGCGCGGGGGGGGGCGGCTCTACCCTTCCTCAGGCCACTGGGCCTGTTCTGTCTCTCGGTTGCAGGTCTGGCCTGTTCTGATGGTGGTCACAGTTCCGTCTACCTTGCAGGCGCGGGGGGGAGGGGGAGGCTCTGCCTCTCAGCAGGCCGCTGCTCCTCTTCTGCCGGTGGGTCGCAGGCCCGCCTACCTTGCGGGAGTGATTGGAAGCTCTGCCACTCCGCGGGCCACTGGGCCTTTTCTGTCAGTGGTCACAGTTCCGCCTACCTGACAGGCGCGGGGGGTGGGGGGCGGCTCTGCCCCCCAGCAGGCCGCTGGGCCTGTTCTGTGGGTGGTCACAGTTCCCTCTACCTTGCCGGCGCAGGGGGAGGGGGCGGCTCTGCCTCTCAGCAGGCCGCTGCTCCTCTTCTGCCGGTGGGTCGCAGGCCCGCCTACCTTGCAGGAGTGATTGGAAGCTCTGTCCCGCCGCGGGCCACTGGGCCTTTTCTGTCGGTGGTCACAGTTCCACCTACCTGGCAGGCGCGGGGGGTGGGGGGCGTTATACTCTTTCTTTCAAAGGAGATTTCTTAGACTTTCTCAGGCATGCTTCCTTTTAACAGTAAGTCATTGTACTGGGTTTATAAAGAAGACCAGACCTAGCCTGTTATTTTAATACCATGCCAATACATCTTAGATCTACTAATTTTGTTGCTATTTGTGTGTTTGTGTGTGTGTGTGTGTGTGTGTGTGTGTGTGGTGTGCTGGGAATTGAACCTATGACCTTGTGCATGCTAAGCAAGTACTCCACCACTAAGCTGTTATTCCTAACCCTGCCACTTTTTCTTCTATTTGTATTTCAGATAACTGATTAGTACATTATCAACTAATATTTGAACATAATTACTGGGATATATTTAAGTTACTGTGTGATGCTTTTGTTTATTACACAGCAAAGCAATGATTTTTTTAAAATTATACTATCTTTCAGATCTTATGAGATGCTACTACTTCAACTAGTTTAATGGGTTTTCATTCAGGTGAATACAATATAATACCAGCTTCTAAAGGGGAAGGTGGCTCTCTTTCATCTAAATCATCTGCAGAAGGCATGGTTCCACTGAATGGAGTTTGTGGAAGTTTTTGATGAAAGTCTCCTAATAGAAAAATGTTGATACCATTGCCTGGCTATTCATTTTAGGACAGAAATGGGAAATGATAATATTTTTGGAATTATGCAAGTCACACTATTTTATTAGCTTCAATCCAAAAATTTGCTTCCATTCTTATACTCTAGATAACAGGGAATTACGATGCTCATTCCTTCTTGGGAACAAAAGGAATTTAACTAAATTTATCTGACTTTTCCAAATAAATTTAAAACTTAGGATCATATATTCCTATGAGAACTTACTGCCAACTTCTGATAGAAAGTATTAGAGGTTGTAAGCTTCACAAATATAGGTAGTATCTAGGGGCTGGAATTGTGGCTCAGTGGTAGAGCACTTGCCTAGCATGTCCAAGGCTCTGGGTTTGATCCTCAGCACCACATAAAAATAAATTAATAAAATAAAAGTATAAAAAAGGTAGTATCTTATATTCATGTTCTATATCTAATATCTGACAGAGTGGCTAGCAAAATAGTAAAGTTGTCATTAAATGTTTATTAAATTATTAATAAATGTACACAATACAATCTAAGGCCTTCTAAAATATACAAAAATTATCTGAACCCAATAGTAAAATTAAATTATGTTATTAGTAAATCAGGAGATAGGAAACAGGGAGAACCCAGGGATCTCTAGCCAAGAGCTGAAATCACAAGTTCAAACTATGTCACAGGACACTACTATGTATATATCAAAGCATGTTTGGAAGTAGACTGACTAGCAGAGATTTACTCTGCTGAAATTATAAACAGGTCTACAACTGAGTAAAGAATTCACTTTAACTCAAGTTCTTTAAACAATCTTAGCTTCAGTTAGTAACACTTTTCATAAATGATTTTAAGCAACACCCTCTTCTCAAAAGGATTTTTCTGTTCAATATGCTCATAGGTGGGTTCTAGTTTTTACTTTGAATGTGTTCCCAATGACTAAAAAAATCACAAGTTCACATGTTCCATTTTAGAACTATTCTAATTATAAAACAGTTCCCTTATATTATTGAACAAAAATCTGCCTCTGTATGAATCCCAGTCTTTGGACATATTTTTTTTCTCACAGGGGCAAACAAGAACTCTAATTCATTTCATTCCATTTCATTCCATGTCCTTAAGTTTCTTTTCTCAAGTAAGGCATCTCTCAGTCTCACCCATTTATCATGAGATAGAAATTCCAAATTTTTGCCTTCATCACATGACATCTACAAGATTCAAAGTGGGTTAAGGGTTGCTCTAGATTAGGTCTTAATTTCTGGCACTACCTATAATATTCAGTTAAATATTTAGGCTCCAGAATGTCCCTTGAATAGAGGTAGTGGGAAATGAGAAAGTAGCACCTGTTAATCAATCTACAAACCTCAGTGCTGCATGGCAAAAATTCTAACTATAAATACAAGACATTAATCCGAATGTATAAAACTGTGCAATATGTAAAATACTTTAAAAATGGCTTTGGAATTTGATGAGGTCAAACCCTAAAACATCCCCATCATGAGTCTAGGAGGAAGGCAGATAGCCAGAAAGGACTATAGCAATCTTTGGTGGAAGACTGTGGAAGCAAGAATCTCCTGGCTTTAAATGCTACTTCTCCTGCTAGCTATAAAGCCCATGGCGAATTATCCTCTTTGATATTACTAAGAGGGAGTTCAAAACATTTGCTCTATGAGGATTTTGAGACTATTTATATCATAGTACCTTAAAGCACATTTGTAAAAAAAAATAGCAATAATCAATCATAGGCTCAAGGATTGGCATAATGGAATTGTTTATTATAGCAATTACTGCAAAACAATTCAAAAGATCAATCATGATATTCAAGTTCATGGACTAGAATACAGTAGTAAAAATAAGGCCAACTATTCACATTAACATAACATGCATGAATTAAGTCACAAAATAGTATGATTGAATTTGAACAGCATCCAGAAGAGGTCAAAACTCTACTACATATAGGTATTAAAAACATTTGAAATATCTACAGAACGATTTTAAAATAGTCAGGATAATGGTTTATGCTGGTGGGAGCTAAGGCAGTGTAATCAAGAAGGAGTACCCAGGTGCTTCTAATGTCCTAATATTTTTATTGAGGGTCTGTTTCATTCTCTTTCTTTAATCTATATATATATATATATATATATATATATATATATATATATATATATATTCTCATCTATATTTAAGACACTTCATTATAAAAATAAGTTAGTTATAAATATTCCCCAAGTGATTATTTTAATAATTTCATTGAATTTTACTGCTAGACTTAAATATTTATGTACCTGGACTTATAGATTCTGAATCCAAGGATCCAGATTCACTGCTCCCTCCAGTACTATAAGTCACTAAACATCCCAAATGTCCATGATCTTATGAAAGAAGATCTTATGCATGTGAGGCAACCACTCTACCAACTGACCTATATCCCCAGCACCACAGATGCCCTTCAACAGATGAATGGATAAAGAAACTGTGGTATATGTACACAATGGAATATTACTCGGCATTAAAATAGAATAAAATTATGGCATTTGCAGGTATAAATGGATGGAGATGGAGAATATCATGCTAAGCAAAGTAAGCCAATCCCAAAAATCCAAAGGCGAAATATTCTCTCTGATAAGTGGATGCTGATCCATGGAGATGGACAGGGGTGGGGGACAGATGGGAAAAATGGAGGAACTTTCATTGGGCCAAGGGGAGGGTGATGGGGAAGGGGCATGGGGACAGGAAAAATGATGGAACGAGATGGACATCATTACCCTAGGTACATGTATGACTGCACATATGGTGCAACACTACATAGTATACAACCAGAGAAATGAAAAGTTGTGCTGCAATTGTGTACAATGAATCAAAATGCATTCTGCTGTCATATATACTAAAAAGAACCATCTTTGGGCTGGGGTTGGGGCTCAGTGGTAGTGCACTTGCCTGGCATGTGGGAGGCACTGGGTTCAATTCTCAGCACCGCGTATAAATAAAATAAAGATCTATCAACAACTAAAAAAATATTTTTAAAAATGAACCACCTTTAAGAAAAAAATATTTAAAGTCAAAACTTAGCTAAGAGGTAGATTTCATAAGGTAAAATACTGACATTACATAAAATGAGACAATTCAGATTTGTTTAACAATGACCAATTATGGACTTTAAGGCAGGCATGGTGGTTACAATCATGACTAGGTCTCACAGAGTTACATTATAAAGCCTGATTTTCTGGTTCTAGAGCTCCAGTTCATTTAATGACCAATGAACAATTTGCTCTTTCATAAACCTGTATTCTCTTCAGAGTGAAAAACCCCTGTTAGGGGATACGGTTGTAGCTCAGTGTTAGAGCACTCTCCTAGCACGCATGAGAAACTGGGTTTGATCCTCAGCACCACATAAAAATAAATAAAATAAAGCTATTGTGTCCAACTACAAATGAACAATAAATATTTTTTAAAAAAGAGAGAGAGAAAGAAAGAAAGAAAGAAAGAAAGAAAGACACCTGTTAGATCTCCATTGTTAGAGTGATTATAACCAGTGTTTGAAAAAAATTAACCTTCAAGTGAATCACCTGGGAGATCTTATTCAAATACAAAGTCTGGATTGAAACTCAATATGTCCTCTTCAATTTTATTACAACTGTCAGGAAGGCACACAACATCCTTTAAAGAGTGAGAAGGGCCACATCTGGACATCTGGGAACTATTTTTTAATGGTTTATTTACATTCCTAAGAAAAAGCAAAGAAAGCTCAGCACTAACAATAAATCTACTTTGTACTATAGTCAGAAAAATTTGTTGATTTAATATATGTAGAATAATTAACTAAATACAATGAACAAACTGTTACATGGTTCAGCTTTTTTAAGGAGATATGGATAAAAATTTATTTTCACAGTTGAAACATTGATAGAAATAGCAACAGTCAGTAATGCATGTTATGATTAAACTTTTGTAGTATCATCTCAGTGGAAAATATAGGTTAAATTTTGTGGACATTCAAAATGTGTATGATTGTCATTTGCCGTTCCCAAAGGATTTTTAAGTCTCACAGAGTGAGGTCAGTATCAAAATGGAAAGCTTTACTCTCAAGTGAGACTTACTAAGAAACCACAAAATAATACAAATAAAATTTTTCAGAAATTTTTAAAGTTAATTCTATCAATATTAGAAAATATACCTCTTTATACCACATAGGAACTTAGTAAATGTTTTATTTCTAGAAATTCATCTAGATATTAATTCTTACCCATCAACTTTTTCTTCTTCAGTTGACTTTGTAGCCTTCACAAATTCACTGTACTCTTGGCCTGGATCATAAAGTTTGGCGCTATCACAGTGAAAGACTAAACTGTTTGCAAGGGAGGCAGCCTGAAAGTGCTGCATCTGGAACAGATTAACTGTTACCTATCATCACAGACACAAAAGGCAGAAAAGACTTGTGATATACAGAATGCATTATAAATAAATGTACGTTGACTTCAATGAATGAACCAATAAAAACGGGCACACAAGTGAAACAGCTCTGAATACCACTGTACACATGGTATATTGCCCAATATTATGAAAGATAAAGATTGTAAACTAAAAGAGAAGTTTGAATCTAATATCCAGGTGTGCTCATTTGCTACAAAACTGTTTTTAAACTGTAAAGTTTAAAAAATACAAGCCATGTCCCTGATGGTTCACAATTTGAGGATCCATAGCTCTGTACCCTGATGGTCTGACCACACTGCCTAAACTTACTTGCATGACCATGATGATCAAGTTATTTATAACCAGTGATTTGAAAAAAAATTAACTTTCAAGTAAATCACCTGGGAGATCTTGTTCAAATGCGAAGTGTGGATTGAAACCCAAGATTCTACATTCCTTATAGGCTCCCAAAGTAATGGCAATGTGACTAGTTCAAAGACCTTATTTTTAGAGGAAAGACTTTCTAGAATTTTATTTCTGCATCAGTTCAAAGGAGATCAAAGTATTATATTGTTCCAGTATGATTATGTGCAAATAAATAACTTAATGTAGACAAGCAGTTTAATACACTGGTATATAAATACTTAATCTTAAATATCATTAACTATTTATTATTTGAGGTGAAAGGATTTTTGTGAAAGGTAAACAGCCTAAATGACTTACAAAGTAATTTCAAATCTTGGGATGTTATAATCCTATTCAATTATTTTATACTTCTGTAAGCTATAACATTAATTAATCAAAATTTGGTAAATGAGAACTGGGGCTATAGCTCAGTGGCAGAGCGCTTGCCTAGCATGTATGAGGCACTGGGTTCAATCCTTAGCACCACATAAAAAATAAAATAAAGGCACACTGTCCATCTATAACTATAAGGAATTTTTTTTAATTTGGTAAATGAATGAAACACAATTTTAAATACCCAGAACATTTTAACGGTTTCTGATTCAGATGCAGTAATCTCACTATCCCTTGGTCTATACTGAATTTGCTCAAAAACCCTGGTCAGAATGCATAAATCAGCTGTCTAAGAACTCTGAAAAGAAAATGGTAGCAGGTAGAAAGTAGCAAATAAACCACAATTCAATCCTGCCCCCACCCCAATCACATATCCAGCCTAGACTTGGCCCCTACTCAAAAACAGCTTGAGTCCCAAAAGTGTAAACAGGGTATGGACAGAAAGATCTCCAAGAGAGATCTTCTCTTGTCCAAGGAACAAAAAAAGGGCATGGAGTAGGAGATATGACTAAAAGAGTAGGTCATAACCCTGGTTTCTTTGGTGGGTTTATTTCCTCTCCTGCCCCAGTGCCCAAACAAGCATAAACCCCTAAGATGCAATCCTGTCCTGTGGCAGCAGGTGATGTGAGTAGAAGTGGAACAGAAACTTCGGAGGGAATCCTTTATGACAAGATGAATTGTGCTCCAATGAGTGAGTGGATTTGAAATTCTTCTTGTTTTTCTTTATTCTCCCCTTATTTAATGACTGAGAATTGATGCCCCTGGCTTCCTGGAGGATAGCAGAGTAGGCAGGTACATTTTAGTTTCCCAGTTAGAAGATTAAGAGGGAGGCACACAGGAGGTGGAGAGTGAATCTAACTAGATCAAATTCTGTTCAACTTAAAAAAAATGAATTTTCAGTTCAGGCTATAAACAGGATAAAAAGGACACAGAAAGTATTACTGAAAATATGTTGGATATCATTTAATGCTACTCGTCACACAAAGAACCAGGAAAATCTCAACTACTCACAAGGGAAAAGGCAGTGAACCGACATCAACACTGCGGTGACTCAGATGGTGCAATTATCAGATGAAGACTCTAAAGTTGCTATGATAACATGGTCAAGAAGTGAGGATAATCAATCTTGAAACCTGAACAGAAGTCTCAGCAGTGAAACAGAAGATCCAAAAAAGAAACGAAAGGGAATTTTTCTACTAAAATTTTTATTAAAGGATTGTATAGGAAAATGAAGTCAGTGAACCTGAGACAGATACATAGGACAATAAAGATGCCCCTCAACTTATAATTACTTCCTGAAAAATCCAACTTAAGTTGAAAATATACTTAAAACCCACTGTAAAGTTGTAAAATCTTAGGCTGAACCATAGTAAGTTGGGTACTGTTTGTAAAAACAGTTAAAGGGGAAAAGATTGGAGAAAAAAAATAGGATCAGCCAGAACTGTGAGAGCACCTGAGTCACCTGAGTTTTAGAGAAGAGAAAGAAAGTGCTACAAACAAAAATATTTGAAAAAAAACATAGCTGAAACCTTGTCAAAATTTGCAATGATCAAATGTGTAGATTCAAGAAATTCAGTGAATCCAAAACAGGAAAAACTCAGCAAAATCTATGTATACAGATATCTTAGCCAAACTGCTTAAAGGCAAACACAGAGAGAATCAAACCTTGGAAGCAGGGTTGGGGATGTGGCTCAAGTGGTAACGCATTTGCCTGGCATGCACAGGGCGCTGGGTTCGACATTAGTATCACATAAAAATAAAATACCCATGTTGTGTCTACTGAAAACTAAAAAATAAATATTAAAAAAAATTCTCTCTCTAAAAAAAAACCTTGGAAGCAGCCAAAAAAAAGCAACACAAACCATACAAGGAACAATGACACAACTGACTATGGATTTCTTCTGAGAAACCATGGAGGCTAGAAGGCAGTGGAACAACATTTTTAAAGTGGTGGGGGAAAAAAACAACAACTGAATTGTATATTTATAACTCAATATACAGTGAAAATGTTCTTTAGAATTAAGGACAACATGAAGGTATTCTTAAATGAAGGATAATTTAAAACATTGTGACCAGCAGACTTGCTATGAAAGAAATGGTAAGGGAAGTTCTGTTTACAGAAGAAAAACATTACCAGACAGAAGATGGAACTATAGGAATGAAAGGGAAATAAACAGAATGGAAAGTATCTGGACAAATATCATATACTACTTTCCTTCTCTTCTTTATAATACATATGACTTTTAAGCAAAAAAAATTAAGATGGCCTGGTGAGATCTTTAATGTAAAAACACATATCAACCACAATCCTCAATGGTTAAGGGGACTTATATAGTGGAAAGGTTTCTACATTCTACCTGAAGTGGTAAAATATTAGTTCTCAGCGAACTGTGAAAAATTACAGACAGTTATCCCTCAATATCCATCTGGGAGGGTTTAAGGATATCCCTCAGATACCCAAATCTCAGATGCTCAAACCCCTTATATAAAATGGTATAGATTTGTGTATAATCTATGCATACTCTCCAAATACTTTAAAGAAGATTTGTAGATCACTTATACTATATAATACAATGCAAATGCTATGTAAATTGTTCTTATACTATATTGTTTAGAGAATGATATAAAGAAAGTCTTTTTATGTTCTACAGTATAGATGTGATTTTTTTTCTGAATCCATGGATGTGGAATCCATACATACAGAGGACCATATTCACATAAAAATACTGCAATTCTTAAATCAAAACTACTCTAAGATACCATCTCACTCCAGTTATAATGGCAGCTATTATGAAGACAAACAACAATAAGTATTGGAGAGGATGTGGGGGAAAAGGCACACTAATACATTGTTGGTGGGACTGCAAATTGGTGCAGCCAATATGGAAAGCATTCCTTGGAAAACTTGGAATGGAACCACCATTTGACTCAGCTATCCCTCTCCTCAGTCTATACCCAAAGGACTTAAAAAAGCATACTACAGGGACACAGCCACATCAGTGTTTATAGCAGTACAATTCACAATAGCTAAACTGTGGAACCAACCTAAATGCCCTTCAGTAGATGAATGGATTAAAAAATGTGGCATATATACACAATGGAATATTACTCAGCAATAAAAGAGAATAAAATCAAGACATTTTCAGGTAAATTGATGCAGCTGGAGAAGATAATGCTAAATGAGGTTAGCCAATCCCCAAAAAAACAAATGGCAAATGTTTTCTCTGACATAAAGTGACTGACTCATAGTGGGGTAGGAGAGGGAGCATGGGAGGAATAGATGAACTCTAGATAGGGCAGAGTGGTGGGAGGGGAAGGGAGGAAGCATGGGGTTAGCAATGATGGTGGAATGTGATGGACATCATTATCCAAAGTACATATATGAAGACATGAATTGGTGTGAACATACTTTATATACAAACAGAAATATGAAAAATTGTGTTCTGTATGTGTAATAAGAATTGTGATGCATTCCACTGTCATGTATTTAAAAAATAAAAGCAATTAAAAAAACAAATACTGCAATTCCTAGTATAACCAACTAAATATATATGTGTACAATACGATATAATAAAAACCCAACAGATAAATTAAAAGGACAAAATGTAGATGCACATTTTAAGTTAAAATGCAATTCTGATAAATGACTAAATTAAATGTATAATTAAAAAAAATGTAGTTCCAAAAAATTATCAATTCAACCAACAGAAGATAGCAAAAGGGAAATAGATTAAGGAAATACAAGGTATAAACCGGAAAAAAATTAAAAGGACCTACATATGAACATATATTTAAATTAAATATAAATGGACTAAGCACTTAAGAAAGTATACACTAACTATAGTTTATATAACAAACTTACTTTAAATACAATGATAAAGTTAAAATGAAAAAATGGAAAAAGATATATCACTTTCAAAAGAAAATTGAAATAACTCTATCAATATTACATAAATTAATCTAAAAAGCAAGGAAATTTATCAGGACAAGTAGACAATTCATAAAGATAAAAGGATTGATTTATCAAGATCATATAACCATTGTTAATGTGGAAATAACCAACAACATAGCTCAAAATACATAAAAACTGAAGGAATTAAAAATACACAATATGTTCAAGTCTTCAAACTCTTTTCTCAGCAATTGATGGACAGATATATTTAAAATTAATCAAGAATACACAAGAAATAAAT